GAAGACACTTATCCGGAGCATAGGACACATTTATTTTGCATAAGTGCACCAGATGACAGGAGAAGTCTAAGCCGTTTTACAAGTGATTTAATAGAAGAGACAGCACATATGATACACTCTATCTTTCTAAAGTCACATAAAGGAAAAGACAAAAAAACACAAACAAAACTCCCCATAAACCTATTCCTTCATTATTTGTGAAGGCCATATATAGTGACTTACAATTTGTGGACCTTCAGTTGGTTTTGTTTTTTTTTTTTTTTAGCAGTGGTCTCTTAGAATTACATGCAATCACAATGGCCCCAAAATTTTATAGCTTTTAACCATTTTATAATTCAGACAACGTGCAAGACAAGGTGGTGTCACTTCTTAGTCTTCATGGGATTAAAGTTTGGTTTTAAATATATGACTTTACTCTGCCAGTGAGAGATCAAAAACCCAAGACAAGTAATACAATGGCATTGTGAAACAATATGGACAAAGATCAAGCCTGGGAAAGATGACACAATTTCAGTCTCAGGTTTGAGAATCAAATACCCATTTCAAAGTGAGGAAATAAAATATAAAAGCTCAGTTACAGCAGCCTTACAAAACACAGTGCTTACTCCAAGTTTTATCCTGGCAGCTGTCAAGCAGTTAACACTGATGAAAGTGCCTACAGAACCATAAAGCATTATTATTATGTATGTCATGCCCAGAATTCTTTTTACCTGTATAACATGATATACTAGAGCAATTTGGATATGAAATATTTCTATATCACTACAATAAATCATAGCTCACTAAAATGCCATAGTGCTGAAAGGAAGTGCTAGAATTACTGCCAATGCTAGTACTACTAGAAATCAAAATCTGTCAGATGTTATACGCTTAATATATCTCTCTTCTGCACCCATTTTAAATTGTAAAGAGCCCATCACAAGCAATGGAACACCTCATTACAGATACTATTACTTAAGTTGAAGACCATAAAACAGTAGCAAATTATTCTTTTAAAAGCTTGATTACTTCAGCAGACAACAAGCATCAAAAAAATGCATGTCTGCTAGCTCTAAGATGTGGAATGTCCTGTGCACCACATTACAAACACAAGATAGTTTGAAAATACTTTCTGAATGGGCTACGTAATTTTTGTCACAATAGCCTCATGTCACTTGATCAATTTAAAAAAGAAAAAAAAGCAAGAAATGACAAAGCGTGCTTATCTGTAACTTCTACTCACATTTAAGGATAAAGGTAATATTTCAGCTAAAAACTACACAGGCAGATGACATCTGCTCTGATATTTGACCCATGTGGAAAGATTGAAGGAATTGGGGTTGTTTAGTCTACAGAAAAGAAAACTGAGGGGAGAAATGATAACAGTCTTCAAATCAGCTGTACTGAAGAGGTGAACAAATTGTTCATGGCTAGGGAGGATGGAACAGGAAAGAATGGTCTTCTGTTGTAGACCCTCTCCTGATTTTACACTTTTTTTAAATATAAAGAAACTGCCCCTGTGCAAGCCCGGAGTGAATACAGTGTAGTTCTCAGCAGACTCTGTGTAAAGAGTTTGTGGAGACCTCTAAATCCTTCAAGATCATTATGAATATTTTTTTACATATTATTCCCTAGTTTTATTGCAAGGATTGCTTTCTTTTCACAGTTAGTACAAAGCCTACCTTTTGTCTGGCTTTTGTGCACTTTCAGTTTGATAGTCATGACACCGAATTTCTACAAAAAGAACATGTACTTCTTTCAGCGTCAGGAAGAGATTTTCCATGTAAAATTAAGTTTTCATTGAACATATTAAGTTTCTGCCTCTTTTTGAGACTTCCTCTTTAAACAGTGTTTTATCTTCTTCCAAAAATTATTTAGCAGCATCACCAATGTGCATAAACTTTCCAAGATAATGTAAACCAGATCCTGTCTCATCTTGCTGTTTTTAAATGTCTTCAGTGCTATTAACCACTCACTTCATTCTTCCTGCCTCATACTGCCATCTTGTACATCGATGAAACATATTTACACGTCAGTAAACAGGGAAGTCATCTTTGCAAACACCAACATTTTTACTGAGACTGAAAGAGAACTCTAGGGAGTACCGTGGATAGTACTGTTCAGCATACCAACACTGAACAGGCCCGTCTGTATTAAGGAGTATTAAATTAAGGGGCTGCTGAGCCAGACCATCTTTTCTTGTCTTCCCAGATCCTTCCTTGCTCCTTGGCACCTCATGATTTGAACCAGTGTACTACTCTGACTGAATTGCTCTGAGAAAATACAGTCTCATCAGCTAGTATTTGTCTTCTTTCAGATTCAAAACTTAGAATTAGTTATGGCTGCACCTCTTCCCACACTTACGTCAACATTCACACAGTGACTTGCATGCAGCTGGAGTAACAAAAATGCTCTGTCCCACATGGGTCTCTTTCTACTCACCCCCAACCTAAAAATACTACCTGCAGAGTGCTGAAGAATTTTAACGTGTCTTCATATATGCTTCAGGTAGAACCTTTTTCCTTTTTCATCATATTCCTCTGAATATCTCCCAGTCTGTAACATTTCTTGTTTAGTTTCAGCTTAATGACCACAGTGTCAGGGCAGACAAATACTGAATAGGTAGCGGTAATAAAGCTAGATTGTTGTGATAAAGAGAGATGGAAATTTTAAGTTTTCATCTACTGGGTATTAACTATTGAAATTTATGTGACTGGGTCCGTATGTCGGCTGCAAAAAGATTTCTGTGAGTATTAGTTAAAATTCCTAACTATTTTCTAACATAATTATACCATAATACAGTCCTTTTACAGTTTATATCAAACTACTACAACGAATCAGTGTATCTTTGGATTTTGTTATATTTCTGCAGTAAATCTTAACTCCAGAGCTAGTCAAACACCATTATTATGTGGTGACGCAATGCAAGGAAGGCAGCTGAATCATACTTTTAAATTCTCAGTACCTTATCAAACCGGCAGAGAAAATAAACACATACTCAGTTTACTCCGAGTAAACTCTGATACTCACATATTTGCTGGAAGTGCTCTAACATACTGAAGAATCCAGCATAAGAGACAGTAAAATTTTGGCCCTGCTTTGGTATTTAAAGAAGAATGTGAGTGTGAAATCCAGCAATCACTAACAATGGGATCAAAGCAGTACTTTAACTACCTATACACACATGAACTAGTTTTGTTTCAGCACTAAACCAAACAGATCTAACTAGTTACAGGGAAACTGGGTAAATGTCTTGAACCATGCCCTGAGTCCGCATAGGCAGGGCTTCTGTAAAGCCCTCAGTTTTACAAAATGCCAGCACGTAGGTCAGGTGTCAAAGTTAAGCCCTGTATTAGTCCAGGTGGTTCTTTGACTGAGGAGCTACAACTACAGATATTTTACACCACTTGAGGAAAGGGGATCTATTTGTGTCAGTCATCAATTAAGCAATACGGTAATTTGGTGTTTCTGCTTATGTGTTGTGTAATGTGGAACTAGTAACCACAACTCTCCGCTCTGTCTGGGATATTAATTTTTACTATAGCTGTCTGATGAGAAATCTCATTGCACTTAGATGCACTACTGTAGACAGCATGCGGGGCAGAATGGAAAAGAGCAGAAAAGTGACATCTCCTGCAAAAAACAGTCTATGATCAATCTATAGCCAAAGGTGTCCATTAGTGTATGTCTGTGGTATGTTTGAGCCAGGAGTGCACTTTCAGAGTGGATCTTCCCAACACCCCCAGTCACTTTTGTGCTTTGGTTCTCAATGCAGTGAGGTCTTGCCATGCACAAACTAGATTCCTGTCACATTAAACTAAACCAGAAGAGCAGTCTCAGGAGCATGCCCAGCACTCTTCCAACTGCTACTGGGCATTTGCTCAGATGGACAGATCACCTGAAAAGCACACAGTGCAGGCATCAACCTTTCAGCACTCACTGTGTGTCTACTACTTGCTAACTGAAGCAGAGTCTCAAGCTGCAAGGCTCAGCGGCACTGGTAGCGCAGACAGGGCAGCACAGTTTATTCCCCCCAGGGCACTCCACCCGGTCTCTGGGCTGGTTTGCAGTCTCTCTGCGTAGGTGCTATGCCATGTACCCAGAAAGACAGTGCAGTTCTGTTTAATCCTGTGTTCAGCCAAATCACTGTCACCTGTTTGCAGCATATCTGTATCTACTGATTATTTTTATTTCATATGCTGGCACTTGGGAGGCCACAAACTGCACTGTGTGTTACAATTTGCACGTTTTCTAGGGACTACTGTAGGAGCAACACCATTTGGGTCAGGTCCTGAATGCAAACAATTTTTGAGCGGAGAAGGTAACAGGTCAGTGCCAAACATAATGTTCTAGACTGGGATCCCTCATCCCTGTCCCGGTAGGCAATGTTTTGGGAGAGGCGTTTGCATTTGATGAATTCATTTGGTGCTGCTCCTCAAATGTTCGAACCCCGGGGCGCCGACACGGGTGCCAAGCAGTGCCCCTCTACTGCTCAGAATGTCAACCTGAACTACTACGAGACCCTCGCAGGCTCGTGTTTCTACCCAGCCCATTAACCGCACCGAAGATGACAGGCCAGCGATCCACTTCCCAAATCCCCCGAGCACCTACTGTTTTGGCTACCTCACCCACCCGCGGGGCGCTCAGGGAGCCCTCCCGCGCCCACGGGACTAGCTGAAGCCCAACGCTGGCCCGCTCAGCCCCCGCCAGCTCCTGTTGGGCGAGGCTGAGCGCCCGAGTGGCCCACACGGCTTCCCGCCCCCCGCACGGAACGGGGACCACGACATCCAGGCCTGCGGCCGCCCCCCCACCCCCCCTCCCGTACCCAAGACGTAGGAAAACTCGCTCGGAAGAGCGCGGCGGGGCCTGGAGGCAGGCGGCGGCCACCAGCTCCCCTCAGCCCAGGCGGGGCCCGCAGCGGCCGGCCCCGCCGCCCCCGGCCCACGCCGAGCCGGGCCGGCGGCCGCGGCTCCGAGGGGCGGGCGAGGGTCCCGCCGCGGCCCCCGCAGCCCCCGCCTCCGCATGGCGCGGGAGGAGCCGCCGGGCGGGCGGGCGCAGGCGCCGCAGCGCTCGGCCGCAACGCCATGGCCGGCGGGGGGCCGGCCGCGTTCCTCGGCGCCGTCGCCTGCCTTTGCTTCCTGGCCTCCGCGGCTGAGGGCTTCAAGAAGAGGGGACCCAGCGTGACCGCCAAGGTGACTCTCGCCCGCCGGTCGGGAAGCGTCCCCGGCCGCCGGCCTGAGGCGAGCCGGGATCGGTCGGTCGGTCGTGAGGGGCCCGCGGCGCCCCCGGAGCGGGTGTTTTTCCTGCCAGCTCCGCGCTCGCCGCCGGCGGTTTTGGGGAGGGGGGGCTGCCTTTTACCCCGGCTGCATGATGCAAAGCTGGTCCCTCGCCGACTCGCTCCTTCACCGGCCGGATTGCGGGCAGAAAGGAGGCCCCCTCGGGGGCCGGGTTTGGATAAAATACCTTAACTTCCGCGGTCGGTGAGAAGCGGGGGTTTGGTTTTGGTTTGGTTCTTTGACGCCGTTGGGCATGCCCCCCTTTCCCGTAGGCGCTGGCACACCTCAGGCTGGCAGTTGGCTTACCCTGCCCCGGGCTTACCGAAGCGGGAACCTTAACATTTCGGAATCGCACCCCTGCTCCCGTGGGCAGCGGGGGGGCTGCGCGGCGGTGCCCGCCCTGCGCCGCGCCGCCGGGTTTTCACCACCCCGGGGCTCGGTTCTGCCCCCCCCCCGGCCCCCTTCTCAGTTCTGGTGCGGGGGGTGGGATGTTTCGTGCGGCTGCGGATGAAGTAAGGGTGAGAGGTTCCTGCCGCCGGGTGCCTTTCCAGCCGGGCTCAAGAGCGAGTTCCGTGCTCCTGGGGAGAGGTGCCCGCACCCTGGACGCGTGGCAGGGCAGGGCAGGGGCAGGGCTGCTTCCCCTGGCACAGCCTCAGCTTCCTAAAACGCGGCCCGTGCCTTTGTCTCTGAACTTCCATTGCCACCGCTGTCTACAGCCGTCTGCAGTTTCACTGCCGTGGACACTTCCTAGCCACCGAATTGGACTTCGGGGAGGGGGCTAAATCTCATACGCTCGTTTTCTGGCAGTATATTCCAGCTTAATTATGTGTAAAGTACTTTGCTTCTTCAGACCTTCTGCCCGGGATTTCGTTTTATGCTCATTTCTGATCTTAAGTTCTGGGACAGAGAGAATTGCAACTCCCAATTTTCCTTGTCCAAGCCAGTCGTAACTTTACAGAGCTCATCAAATCACACCAGTTTTTATCTCTTCCAGCTTGCAAGATTTTATTTAATCTTTCTTCACAGAAAAGGTATTCCAGGTTATTGAGCACCTGTGCTGTCCTTTACCGTTCTGGGTTGGTTTTATCATGCTGTGATAGAGAAGCCAGAATGACATGTGGCACTCAGGATATGAATGCACAGTACAGATGTATACCAGGGCTTACCCATTTTTAATTATTTCTACCATTCATTTTCCTTCTCTGACCTTCACAAGCCCAGAGCCAAACTTTTCATCAAACTGCTCAGGGCAACTCCAGATGTCTTTTCTGAGTGGTAGCTGATTTAGGAACCCTTGTTGTGGCTGTATAGTCCTCTTCCACATGCAGTATTTTGCATTTATCAGGAGTTCCTTTGTCATTAGATTACCTCGTTTCTAAGAATCATGAGGTCTTTCACAGTCAACTTCCCTCCCCCTCCTCCCCCCCCCCCCCCCATAATTGAATACTTTTGGATTTTTTTCATTTTGATATACACTGTCTTGTGTAAATTGCATATAAATATGTTCATGAGAACCATCCAGTCTTACTGGTGCACTCTTTTTTTTATTTCAGTCTTGAAACACTTACTGCAAATTGCAAATAAGATTAAATATTTATATAAATATTAATAAGACTGCAAGTTTATAGTATTTTATTTTCTTTAAGTGTTTTTGGTGAAGAATCTGGCCAAATGGTTTTTGAGATTTGCGACTGCTCTTGACCAGCTCACTATTGTCCACAAGCTTATCGACTTTCCAGAGAACTTGAGGAAATATGCTTAAGAGAACATGGCTTCTCTATGCAAAAATGGCATCTAGGGCTACCAAATATTTATGTATTTGATTTCCTGGCCAGAAATATGCAGACACATTATGTGGTGCATAACTAGGAAGCGCAGGGCTTTCCAAAAATCACCAAGTGTGTAGCACAGGTATGTGGAGTGCTAACAGGAAGCCCAGAACTTATGGTTTGTTCACAAACACAGAATAAGCTGAAGCAACGCTTCTTGGAAGTACTGGGTTTGCTGCTTAGGTGAGCAGCTCTGCCATGAATGAAGCCCTCTGGTTGGGTTTACAATATATGATGGACTTGTCTCCATATGCTCTGTGAAAGTGTTTGATACTACTATCTGGGGTCATTGTTTGGTAGTCTTGGTTGTGTTACGTATATACGGATATATATTTTAGGCAGTCCTTCTACTAGGACAACATTTCCAGGCAAAATAAGGTGCATTTAGAAAACGTAGGCAGGCAATACCCTTTACCTAGATAACCCTGGCAGCAAAATTCAGAGACGTGTGTTTATAAAAATGCTAAGAAGTTAGTGAAAGTGTGCTATTAATACTTTGAGAGCCACACATCTAAGAAGTATGTTATTTAGTGCCAAGTGCCAAGGAAATGAATGAGGTGTATCAAAAGGAATTTTATTTTCTTTATAGAGCTTTTATAGCGTTAGCCAAAAGTTCAACAGTCGAAACCACATGGATGATCAAGAAACGGTAGAAAAATTTAGTAGGAGAGCGTGAAAGAGGCATTCACATTGGAGAGACTGTGGTCATTTATTATCATTATTGGACTAATTTCTTAGTGCTACAGACAAGTAATATTTGGTAGAATGCCACAAGGAACAGCAAATACCACATCATAGGAATACACATTGCTGTTTCCTAGAAGTTGTAATAGTCTTTATGTAACTTTTTCAGAACTTCAAAATGCCTCATTTCCTGACAGCTGTTCCTATTTTCAGTAATTGTTGGAACATTTTTGTACGTTCAAATATGCATTCATATATTCTGAACTATATTAAAATGCTTTATAACTCATTTGCCTTTTTGAAGTTGCTTTTTAGCAACATCTATGTTGAAGCTTTTATGCAATCAGCTGAATAATGTAGCCTAGTTATTTCTCTATCAGATTTGAATTCATATTTAGGAAAGTGGCTCCTTGGTCAAGCGTAGGATTTTCTTCCCACTGCTTGCCAATTTAATGAAATCTAGGCTTTTGCCTGTTTTTAATCACATACATACTAATGCCTAGAAGAGTGAAGATTATGAGTGGATAGAAAACTTTTGTTTGTGGGGAGTGTCAGTACTGTAGCTCCTCGTTAGTGTTCACACTGGAATAGCATCACTCTTCTTTCTTACTTTGATATTTCATCTTTTCTGTACAGCTTTGAAGACATTCCATGTCTGGGAAAAAACTTCTTGAATGCTACGTTCAAACTTGTGATACAGCAATTCCACGGAGCTCTTAAAAGCAATAGGAATAAAAATGTGTAGTCACCAGTTCGCAAACAGTTTTCTGCATAGTATGAAAGGATTTTTTGTAAACAGCATCTTCAGGAATTGAAGCATACTGTTAATATAGATCAACGAGAATCAGTTTCTTACCACCTTAAGCTTTCAAAAGCTTGGCCTTTTTGTTGTGCTCATGTTTGTACTACTTTTCTTCTCTTCACAAAAATGTTCAGGTGTTCTTTGATGTGAAGATTGGAGACAAAGATGTTGGCAGAATTGTAATTGGATTGTTTGGAAAAGTTGTCCCAAAGACTGTGGAGAACTTCATTGCACTGGCAACTGGAGAAGTACGTTTGCGGTTTTCTTCCACTGTGTACTCAAGTTTGTATTGGGAAGTAAATATTTGTTAATGCTGTTTCAGTTGTGAACAGTCAATCTTAATTCAATGGAACCTGTGCCACAGTGCCATCCCCAAGGCTGTGCACTGGTGTGTGTCTTCTCAGGTCTTTGTAATCACGAGATGTTGGATATCAACCACCTCAACCTGTCCCTGCCATGCAGACCTAGCATGTAGAGGTACTGTGGTCAGATACCCATCAGATAATGACAATGGCTTTCATCACCTGCATAATACCTGCTTTGTGGCAGTGCAGCCCAGCTGTATTCATCCACATCTCAGTTTGATTTGTTTCTTGCCAGTATTTGTCTCTGGTGGTGATACATTCTGTGAAATCTGGCCATTCACCACACGCGTATTTCCATATGACTGTACAGAACTGGATGTTACATTCATTTAAAGAATTATTTCATTTTCGTAGAAAGGATATGGATACAAAGGAAGTAAATTTCATCGTGTGATCAAAGACTTCATGATTCAAGGAGGAGACTTTACAGCTGGAGATGGATCAGGAGGTAACATGCTTAGTATCTTCCAGGTTCCCTTTCCTTTCTTCAGATATCTGCTGAAAAGATGGGCAAAACAGCATACTCCCTCATTCTTTCAGCTAACATAAATGAAAAAAAAACCCACATTTGTTGACCATCTAGTACTTTTCCAAGCATCCTGGAACATAAGCCACAGTTATTTGGATTACCTGATTATAAGTATGTGTAGAGCTTCCTTTATCCTCAATTTTTGCAGATAGCTCTTTTCTGTCTGTGACTTGTACCCACTCAAGAAGCATGGTTTTGTGTGGTGGGCGGGAGCCACGTGACCAGCTGAGCTGCTCCTTCAACATGCTGTCTCCAAAAGATGGATGTCTCTGCCCTTCCCCTGCTTTGGCTTTGCGACAGCGCTCCTTCCCTGAGCCACTCGCTGATTGCATGTGTACGTGAACCAGTTCAAGTCATCCAGCAGAGAACTAATCTGTGATGGAACAGTGTAAGCATGTAGAGGGAAGGCACGTGGCGAAGGAGCTGGCTGTCCTCTCTGGCCTCAGCTCAGCCAGTTCTCTGGAACTTTCTGAAATGTGCTATGGGAGGGAATTTCAGAAGAGGGGTAGAGAAATTAGAAAATTAGGGTCATGCCCTCTCCCCTTTTTTCTCTTACTAAATTTTAAATCATAAACTTACTGGTATTATGAGTTCAGGCAGTATGTATCACTTCTCAGTCCTGAGCCTCTGGAAGACCAGCTCAGTCCACTGAGGAGGGCAATCCCAGTGCAGCATCTCTTGCATTGCATGCATTCTGGCTTCCAATTTCTTCTCTTCCTTTACATGCTCTTTCTTCACGTGCTGTGATTTGAACTGTCTGCATACAATGCTAGTAATCTCCCCACTAGGACAAAATGGAAAACACATTCATTTTCCTTGCAGCGAACAATGGGGAAGGCTAAAATACGAAAGGGAGTTTTAGCATTAAAGGTAGGCAGTGTTTGTTTGCCTGCTAATACTCTTCATTGGGATGGTATCTGGCACTGTTGAGAGCGTTGTCCACATTATGCCAGGCACTGTACAAATCAAGAATGAGATAGACAGCCTTCTCTTCTCAAAGGGATGATGGTTTAAATATAACTCAAATGTTTTATCTTCTGAACTATTTTAGAAACATTAAAATTGTTCTGTAATAATTGTACAAATTCACACTGAATCATTTAGGCTGACTTCTGTATGTTCTTCACATTTCTAAACATGTCTAAAGCAATTAGTAGGAGGAAAAGTTTTAAAAGTAAAGGATAAAATTGTCATAAAGCTTGGAAACCTTATTTTTAGTGGTCATAATTATGTGATTTAGATTTGTTGAATAAAGTGAAGTATACTATTGGTAAGTGGTATATGTAAACAGGACCTTTGAAGGTACTTAGCTTGCTTGCTAAATTCAAAGGATAAAGCATCATCAGCTTTAAATATTCTCTCCTTACATGTGGTGTTTTAGCTTATCGCTTTCTTTACACACAAAATGCTTTTAGTGACGGGATCACTGATGATGGAACAGTGATGTTGCTGTGCTTACTCAAACAATGAATCTCCAAGTCCTGAATTTATATGTAGTTTTTTCCCATTTTTGAACAAAAAGGTGAGGTTTTTGTTTGATTTTTTTTTTTTTTCCTAAAGTTTGTTTATTTGTTTCATAGGAAAAAGCATATATGGAGAAAAGTTTCCAGATGAGAATTTCAAGCTGAAGCACTACGGAATTGGGTGGGTTAGCATGGCTAATTCTGGCCCAGACACCAATGGATCCCAGTTCTTCATCAGTGTGACAAAGCCTTCCTGGTTAGATGGAAAACATGTAGTATTTGGCAAAGTCCTTGATGGAATGGTAAGCTAAAAGTAGTGGCAAGATTAATCCAAGAAAATCTGGACAAATTCTGCTGCTTTCTATGTGTTAGTGTAACTTACACCGTTGCAGTTCGGAACAATTGAGTGTTTATCTAATATGTACATGATAGAAAATGATTGTGAAGATCCTGGAGCTGGATGATTAAGAACTGAAGTAGCAAATGGTGACTGCAGAAATGGAAACTTAAATCATGCCTTTGGCTTTCATTGCTCTTGTTTCAGACCACTAACCACTGAAATCAACACTGACACGTTTACAGATTAGAAATGGAGAAAGTTGACATCCCCCTTTAACTAATGCTGTTAGCCATGAAATAATTATGTTTCTACAAGCTAAAATATAATTCTGTAGCATGTGCTAGTTATGGATAACAGTTTCACTGTTACAGTTTTTAGAAACAGGTGAATGTGAAGTATACAAACACATGTATTTAGATCTGTATAAAAAGAAAAAAAATTCTAGTCAATTCACTCAAACTGTACACAGCTGCAAAACTGATCAAAGGCCAAATAGAATTTAAGTTTAAAAATGGAACTTCCAACTGATGATAGTTTTAGGTCTGGTTTTCCTTTTAAATTACTCCATTTAATCTGTATTTTTGCATGAATGGAGGAAACATGAACTGCTGCACTGACCAGGTCTTTGAGGAGTTTGAAAACTTCATCAGACCACCTGTCCTCCACTCCCACATTCATATTGAATGCAATTCTTATGAGCTACAGTAATAGCTGAAATTTTTGAGGAGACTTAGACTAGTTTAGTTAGATTAATGGGCAGATGAACAAAGCCAGATAGTCAGTGTTCCTAACTAAATTCTGTCCTTTAAAAATATTAATTAGTTGTCTAGCGTGAGGCCAGTGGTTTACCTGTATCTGTCTGTCTGGAGGGCATGGCACCACACTTAAAATCTGTGTGTGTGTTATACTAAAGGTAAAAAGAGTCATCAGGTTTCTTGAAGCAGTTATGCTGTACGATTAGAAAAATAATTACTGCTCATCCTTTATGATCTCTGGATGCACTTTCTGCTCATAGGCTACAGATAGACCCTGTATGTGCTAGGTCGATCAGCTGGTATTTTCAGTTGCCCCTTCATAGTATTTTTGTTGGCCGAAGGTTTTTATAGAAGGGCAAACAGCCTTACATGTGCTTCTTTCAACTATGTGTGGACTGCAGAGTAGCACAACTGCTAATATGGAAAAAAAAAGCATGTGGGAACTCAGAGGCATAAAGTTTTTTGTTCAGGAGTTGCTTAATGAATAGTAATGCTAGGAATGTGTTTACCTGGTACCAGACTTGAGCCACTTGGCTAAACTGAATTTTTTTTTTTAATTAATTTTTTAATTTATTTTTTTAACAGTCTGTGGTGCACTCGATAGAACTTCAGCAGACAGATGAGCATGACCGGCCCCTTCAAGACTGTGTGATTGTGAACAGTGGCAAGATAGCTGTAAAAGAACCATTTGTAGTTGAAGTAGGTGACTGGTGAGGCCAACAGTTAGAATGAAAAGTAAAACTTTATCACTCTTCTTTAAGGCCTGTTTGATCTCAATGATCCATTGAGTTTTCTCCTCAAAACATATGAGGCTATATTTAGACAACAGTTATAATTTGCCAAATACGTAAAATGTATGACCATTTCTGTAACAACTTGATGGAGCTGTCACTCGTTGAAATTCAAGACATAGCCAGCTGACTCCCAGATCTTGCAGAAGAAGTCTTTAATGAAAAATTTTAGAAGTGCTTCGATTTTTTCAAGGTTTGAAATACAGACATTTTGTTCTCTTTGGAAATTTTTGTGATATTTCCTTCTGCCTTCACAACTGAAAGTATTATTTTCTGTAACAGTTATCAGCATTTTAAAAAATGAAAAAAAAAATACAGAAGCATTTTAAATAAATAAACTTTGATTTCAAATAAATACTTCATTAAGAGCTTTTTTTATCCTCTCCTGCCCCACCTCCCTGGCCTTTTTTCTGATCTCAGTTGATTCTGTAAAATTTGCAGGGGGTGCTGCTTTCCAGGAAACGAGGTTGTAAGGTTCGAGTAGGGTTGGTACCTTTCTCTAATCTTAACAAGTCAGATAAAGTCCCTGCTGTCTTTCAAAACACCACAGTATTCAGATACAATCCTATAATCAAGAAAGAGCAGCTCTGCCTATTGTTAAATAAGATCATCAGCTAGAAACTGATAAAAACAGAAGAATCCTTGTGTTACGGCACAGTGAATTTTATAACACCTAGCTAATGTTATTTATGATAAAGCTCAAATGCTTTTTCTTGAAGTATTGCTGTATGTTAGAGATGCAACTTCAGGTTCATTAGTTTTGTAATGCTTCTTAAATAACTTAAGTTGACAACTGGTAGCTTTTAAAGAAGGTCAGCATAAGTTACCATTTAGAGACAGCTGTGTTTGTTACATTCTTTATTGTTACATAGTACTCTACAGGGAAGAGATGTGGATTTTTGTCGTTTCCAGTGTTTTAGTTAGAACTTGAGATCGAAGAGCTGATGCCAAGATCTGATGAAGGCTTCATCCACCTGCACACCAGGCAGCACGCCACTTACTTTTGTAGTGACCGGTTCCCTGAAGGGTGTCCTGGAGCCCATGTGAGGTGTCCAGATTTTGAGTGTCACAGGGGACGAGCCAGTACTACAGGACAGACCTTGTTGGTACCTAGTGGCACCCCCCTCGCAAGGAAGCATGCTGTGGGCAGGGATTTACTTCAGGTCCTCCCAACATGTCATTTGAAGGTATAGGGGTGCTTCTGCTGGCTCACTGTCTGCAGCCCTGGGGGAGGGTAAATACTGACACTTTTTTCAGAGACCTGTGGAAAGGTTTAAGACAGAGCTAGAGGAGAACTTGCTGAGGGTCTCTAAATTTACCTTGTAGTCAGCAGTCAGGCTTCTGTTTTACACCTGTTCATTCTCCTACTGAAGTAATATTCTCTGAAAAGCAGCACTGGGAAGCAGTGTTAGGAGGCAAAAGCGGGAATACCCCGGACTCCTTCACCCAAATAGCTTTCTGCTAGTAGCTGAAAGCTTTCCTGGAGGTTGATCCTGCAGACAGCACAGTTCTGCTACTGGAACAAGTGCTGCCATCAGAGGCCTACCTTTTACACAAGTCCCAGCTTTTTACCATTCTCAAGCAGCTTTAAAACAGATGTAGTAGTCTGCAGGAAGCGATGTGTGTATGTCCAGGATCAGACTGCTGTTTGTGTCTAGCTTTGCCATTCCTGCTTTTGTGCAACACTCCCTCCCTCTGATGAGCCCAATGATTTGCTGGCTGTTGAAACACACCGAGTTTTTTCCCCAAAGACTTAGACTCTTAGAAGCCTAGCATGTTCAGATAGCATGGTGCTGAGAGTTTTAAATGAGGAGACACACAGGTATTTTCTCATGCTTCAAGTGGAGATACCTGTGAGACCCATCTCTGATGACACAAGCTCAGAGAAATGCACAAAAAAATACACCAAAGCAGTATATTCATATTCTAGTAATTTATTTTGTCATGTCAGTAATTTATTTTGTCATGTCCAGTAGCACACATACAGATTTCCAGTTAAATATGAACAAATGTATATAGGTATCAGTTTTAGTTTTGTCATTTTACTGCTTTATCATATTCTTGCTTTACCTTACCACAGAGTTGTAGGCTCTGTGACTTGTATTAAGATACGACTACAGTCTGCAAGTTGAGGTGAAGAGTAACTATATGCGCAGGTTAGATGTCATAACTAAATGGAGATGCATAAATGCCATGTAAAACCTCCTTGTAGATAAAATAATTTCAACCGAAATGTAGAAAACTTCCTGAGAACGCTATGTATTTCAGAATGTGGAAGCGTGTTTTCCAGTAGAAACTCTCCATATACCTAAACTGGCTCTTTTCCAACCTGATATTAAGGAGCAGATTCAAAATAATTTAAGAAAAATTAACAAAACACTTTTAAGTTGTTCTCCATTTCTTCTTGCTTTATTTTTTTTTTTTTTTTGTCCATTTCTTACACATTCTCTTCAGCACTTTAAATCCATCCACTGCCAGCAATGGGGTATGTGCTGGGAAAAATCCTGGTGCAAAAAGGTTTAGTGTAATTTATGACAGAAGTTACAGAAATAATTAGTAAAGCTTTCAATTCTCTTCAAAGGTTAGTGTAATTCAGTGTATGACTTTTAGTGTTAAATAGTTAGAGCATGTCAATATATAGAAGGTATAAATAACTTCAATACTGTTGTTTCCATATCGCCATTTTTTAAAAGCAGCAATTGTAGTGACATTGATTTCATTTAAAAAGATATAATGCTTGAACTTAAACCAAGGTTCTGCCTCTTGCTTCTGAGCTTAATTTTCACATCACAGAATTTTATTCCTGTTACTTCTGTTAAACATAACTCAGAGACTTGCTTCAGGTTCTTCTAGCCACGCACCACTTCTACCTGAGCAGTAAATGAGGATAAAATATTCCATGTAGAATGCCTTCTATAACTACGTTGGGAAAGTCATCTGAAAAAAAAAGAAAAAAAACTTGCTTTCTTATCTATGTCAGTACAATATAAATGTTTTTGTGAAACTTAACTAGGTAAGGCCTTGTATAATTTGGGTTGCTGCATCACTCAACTGTTCCTCCGTGTTGGGGATGTGCTATTAGTAATGCTGTTTCAGCACTAAAGCCACTTTAGTGTAGCACTGGGCATTGCATGAATGTGCTGCCAGATTTGTAGCTTATTGATTTAAAGGGATGTTCTAATACTTAATGCTGCTAGGCTCCAGCTCTTTATCTGAATCTTTTCTCGCAAGGAAGATGGATTACACTGGCAATTCAATTTCTAACAAAATCTCAATATACTTGAAGAAATTCCAAGATTGCTACTGGGAATACTTCAAAGCTGTTTTTCCATTGTGGTTTACAGCCATGTTCAGACTGATAAGACTTGAGGATGCCTGTACAAACAGAGATGATTATTTGAGACAGGAAAATTTCAGGCTAATCAACGTAAAATGTGACGTGTTACAAAAATTCATCCTGTGATATCTGAAGGAAAAAACCTCCCTATGTTCATAACACAGATGTAGTGGTAACTGACACTTAAATTTTCATCTTATATTTAGCATTAATTACCTGATAAAACACAGTAGTAGATCCATGCAGAGGAATGGTAGACGATGTACATTACTAAAGTGAAAATACTTTTCAAATGCACTAACTCCTGTGTTTTTAATGAAGGTTTTACTTAAGTCACTAGACATTAAGAGTATAAATTTCTGATCACATTTTATGATCTTGAAATTGCTAGTACACTAGGAAATTGGTTTGCCTAGAAGAATGGACTATTTCTGATACTGAACTTCCCACACTAACCAAATCCTTCTTTCACCTATCAGCGTACAGGACATGTAAAAAGGGGAGATGCAACTTTTATAAAAGTCATTAGATACTTGATATATTAGATCACCTAATGTTGGTGGGAATTAGGTTTTGCCCTTAATTCTTTTGCTGAAATATTTTTTGAGGTACAAATATTGAGCAAAAAGCAGATTTGGACTCTGTAAGAAAATAAATAATCCTTATTAGCTTAAAGGTGTGATAGGTATTAATAAGATGATTCCAGTGTGATTAAAGATGTTACAAACAGGTATTTTAGGATGTTTCAATGAACTGCAACCTCCACCATAAACAATACATGCATAATTCTCCCCAACTTCTCATAGTAAGTCATCATTATTAATTAGTTGTTAATATCTTGAATCCAATAATGATTCCTCAAGTCCTGCAAGCTCAGCTATTCCCAGTCACCCTGGTAGAATAACCCTATGCTGTTGTCATTAATGATATTAAAAATACACTTGAAAGGGCAATCTGATGCTTTCCTTTTAAATTAAATGTTGCAGTTCCAGCAACCAGTTTTTACTGGTTCTTCTATACCATACAGTATGCATAGGAAGATGACTACTGATTAAAAAAATGATACAACTTTACATCATCAGATCTACTGTGAGGCTTTGTTGCTTAAAAAAAATCAAGCATATTAATTTAAGGTAAATGTATAAATACACCAAAGCACAGTCTTTCAGATCTGATACTTACATAGCTTAAACAATCAACAAAATAATTTTCAGAGAAGTGGAAGTAAATCTGAGATTCCATTTCTTAGCTCCTGAGGTATCATTTTCAATTTGTAGTATTTTAGATTTTTCCTTCATTTTTCTCCAAAATAGTATATAATTTCTGCCCCTCCTCCCCCTGCCAAGAAGTGGCCACCTTACAGAAAGTCATGTGCTCAGGTACTAGGACTGTGTTAGATACATCATGAAAAAGTGAATCTGAAAATTGATGAGGTTTGTAACAGTGAATCTTATTTTTGGAAAGTTGTCTTGCAACTCAACAATGCTTAAAGTCCAGTAGTTAGAATAATGGCAAGGGTATATCTTATAAAGAAAAGTAAGAGTGCAATGAGGGGGGAAAAAAAAAATTTTCTTTCAGTATTATGTTCCAGAAACAACTATTTGTTTCATTAAAACACCCACAAATACACAATTTCCTGGTTTATGGGAAGATATTAACACAGGCATTCCTGTATCCATGAAAGACTAACTCCACTTCTGATCCAAACAACTGTCACAGTTCACCTTCTTCAAAGAGTACATACAATGAATAGTTACTTGCTAATGGACATTTACTTTTGGTAATAGTTTGAACAACCTTGGCTGCTTTTTACGAAGGAATCAAAGTCTATCAAAGTAAGAACTGATCCAAGTGAGAAAATTTTAGAAAGCTCATCTATATTTTCTCTGTCCTGCGAACTAAAAGAAGAATGAAAGGCAATGGTAGTTGTGTAAAAACTTTGCTTCCTTCTAACTAGACTTGAGTCAACTAGTAGAGTCTCTAGACTTATGACTTGGTTTTCTTTTTTAAACTACAGCTCACATTCTGATTTGTGTTTTAATTCATTAAGTTAAAGAGTAACTTGCAAATGAATTTCATGTTTTAGGGTCTTCAAATATACAGAATATTCACCTGCCATGTGAAATTCTAAATACTGTGTCAAGGCCAAATCCTGAAAAGTCCTTTGTTTCAGATGTCATTAATAACGCCTACTTAATATTTAAACGTCACACATAAGAAGAAGCTTTTATCTTAATCCAAGTAAAGCACTACTTAAAGAGTAGTTAGAAAATTCATTATAAAGTTCCTAATGATTTCAAGAAAAGGCAGCTTAGCTTTACTAGGAGTACACATTAAGAAAGGAAGATAAATAACATCACAGAACTGCAAAATCTTGAATAGAAGTCCTACAGCAAAACCTTTCAGGTCGGCTGGAAACGTTAAGCACTGTCTTAATTTTTCAGGATAAATGTACGTGAAGAAATACATTTTCTCTCTCAGGAATAGTGTGGAATTAAATGTTCATATCTTACATCCTGCTCTTGAGGAATCCAAGCTTGCAAATAAGAGGAGCATTAAACGGTAAGATTAAGACATGCCGTGTGGCTCACTAAATGCCAGTATCAGCAGCATCTGGACCAACTTTTAGACAGCACCCTGTGGGTGCTTCTGTGCTACTGTTGCCACTTGGGTCAGGAGTGACCTCGAAAAGTGACCATTTCCCCTTACTGTGCTTGGGTTCATCAGTTTTGTGATTTGCAGTCCAACCTCAAATGGGCATTCAGTCCACATGACCAGACTAATGCTAAGTCAAAAACTAAACGACCCTGTAATGTGTCTTGTAATGTGGAACTTGGTCACGCAGGACCTCCGCACTCCCTGTTCCACTCTAGAACTACAACTTTAAGCTCAGTAAGACTCCATAGCATCAGTACTGTTGGGCCATACTACTAGTTAGAGTGGACAATGCCTGCAAGAGAGACTATTCAACCCTTTCAAAATATGAGCCTGGTCCCTGTGGTTTTGAAAAACAGCTTGAAAAGACAACAGAATCACAGAGTGGTTGCAGCTTGGAACAGGTGACTGGCAGTCCTCTGGTCCAAGCCCCTGCTCAAGCACGGACGCCTAAAGCCAGCTGCCCGGGACTGTGTCCAGACGCCTTCTGAGAGTCTCCAAGGAGGGAGACTCCACCACCACTCTGGGCAACCTGTGTCAGTGCTTGGTCACCCTCACAGCAAAAATGTGTTTCCTGATGTTCCCGATGTTCTTGTCCTGCCACTGGGCACCACTGAAATGAGCCTGGCTTTGCCTTTACACCCTCCCTTCAGGTATTTGTATGCATCTTGAGAAAATCTCAAGGAAGTATACTTCCTTGGCTAAGAAATTACAAGCAAACAAGTGTTTTTACCAAAATTTACTCTTCTAAAAAATTTCATTATTTTCAAGGCAGCTCAAGAACCTGACTCTTGTTTTCAACACAGTATTTTGTAAAATCAGTCAGAATGCCAAATTAAAAAAAAAAAAAATCTTAATTTGCAGCTCTGGGAGAAAATTCTCCCTTGAAAGTATATTGTATTTTTAATACAAAATTTAGTAGAAGTAACAGTTCAAACAAATAAAATGACAGAATCAGGAGGAACACACTACTAAAAATGGTATTTTTTTTTTCCTGCACACATTTAAGACAGAGGGAAAGTTCTCTGAATTAATAATTAAAAGAACTTTTTATAAAAAAAAAAAAAGGGGCTATAACAAGCTATTTCAAACACTCTTTTGAACCATGTACTAAGAGATGAAGGCTAATGTAAATGTCCCGTGAAACACATCAATTATATTTAAAGTATACATTCCTTTTTTTTTTTTTTTTTCCCCCTCGAAAGAGCTCTAGAGGTTATAAATGATAAGAAAGTAATAATCCAAATGGAAATACAAACATGCTTGCAGTAGATCGACTGGTGTTTAGGGAAAAAGCACTTACAAAGGACTGGGCCTCTAAGTTCAAATCCTTCATGCAAAACAGCCCAAAGGGTCAACAAGAAAAGAAAAGCAATGTTCTTTGTCTTTCATTTTGAATTCTCAGTAGATTTGTCTGAGAACAACTGGGGGAGAAAATTCCACCCTTTTATAAATCACCCACCCCACTTAGTGCTTTAATGGTTTCTTACACAAGAACTATTGTTTTATTGGCAGGTTATTAGATTTGGACCAGTGTCATTTGACTAGACTGGTATTAATAATAATGTGGTTTATGCGGTGCAGGGTCAGATCAGTAAAGCGCTGTTAACAGATGACAGGTTTGATTACCGTTGGCTTTAGGCAAGACATATGGATCCCTTAGGAACAGCAGTACAGGCTGGTGGGACAGTTTGCTGGAAAGGTCAAGAACAGGGATGTCAGTATCAAGGGACAGCAAACAGAATATTCTACAAACTAGCTTTGATAAAGCGAGGTGGTCGAGCTGCGCAGGAGCCATGCCAGTGCCTTTCTGCACACCGGCGCGGCCCAGAAAGGGCAGGCTCCATCTCCTGGGAGCAGAGCTCGCTGCTCCTCAGCCACACTGTGAAACCATCAACATGAAGTTGGAGGTGAGGGGGCTGCATCCAGGAGGGGTGGCTTACAGCTTCTTTGAGACCTCTGGATCCTGCTCTGCTCTCTGGTACTCGGTGTAATGCAGGCTACAAGATCACATATAACCAAGCTCCGTGGTCTACAGGCTCTTCAGGCCACCAGACTCAAGATTCACCATGTTCTTCCAGCCCCCAAAGCGGTGGCTGTACACCTCACCCATGGAGAGAAAGTCCCTGGAAGCCTCTCACAGGGCTGTGTCCCACCCTGGCCACAGCATGGACATGCTCCCCCAGCCAGCGCCAGCCCTCTCCGCGCTGCTCTGTGCATTCATGTGCAACCAGATCCATACAAAGCTCTATCGAACACACAGGGAAGAATGCAAACCTATGATGCCTTCTGCTATGTCTTCTTGCGATGAAAAATACACTTCAATGGGTAAAACACATTCCCAGAAATATTTCAGAGCTAGCAATATTCTATTAGGGTTTTGTAAGAAATTTCTTAATAGAAGCACAAGGATGCTCAATTCACACTACAAATGGATGGATCTAGCACAGCCAATGAAACTAGCCATAGTATTTAACAAACACATCTAATTTTAATGCTAAACCACTGCTATATTGTTAACTGAAAGGAACAAATACAGTAAATGCCAATAATTTCAAGTAGTTTATTACTCTGGTGTCCTCGAAAGAGAGGAAACAAGCTCACCTCGATTCTTCAGATTCTGTTTCATCAAAAGAGCTGCAAGTAAAGTGAGAGGGAACTTTAGTTACAACAAATTTAACCCTACAATAAAAAAAAGACCCAAATCATTTAAGAACTATCACAGGGAGCAACATTTTTCTGGTTGGAAGCTACATAATGCAGTGTGATGAAAAGAATGTTGGAGATCATATAATTTTACAACAACTACTACTTGGAAATGACAACATCCATTTTACTGTAGCAGATTCACAAGCTTCTCTATCTATCTATGAAGTGATGGGGCATAGTCCCACTGAGAGTATTGGCTGATGTCATTAACTACAAGTGAAAACTACAAGTCTGTTAGCTTCTGAATCACTCTGGAGACTGCTCTGGGCTGTAGACACCTCTGAGTGTAAGAGGGCCTCAAAATTAACTCCACTTTTTTTCAACTCGCCTTCTCTCCACTGCAGATCCACACAGCCTCCCCCAAAGTGGAAAAGGGCCACTTAGCTTTCTGAGGAGCAAGTTCTGGTAACGCTGCTGGACTATCAACTACTTCAGCTTGCACAATAAAATAAATTATTCTCCCTACAAAGCTTATAGCTGTAGATGATAAGAGAGTTTCCAGTTACACTGCTTGGGTATTTCTGTAGTCATTACACTCATCATGCTAAGATACCCTTCTCCCACGCTATCAAGAAGAACCCTTCCCAGCAGAAGGGCAATGGGGCCACTGGGGTAGATGTCATCAGAAAGGTGAAAGACCCCATTTTCAAACATACAGAGAGAGATCATAAAATGATCACCGCATTAACTTCTATTTTATGCAGATACTATGACCACAAAACACATGTAAAGGCTTTCTATGCAACTTTAGTGAGTGTTTATGAATATTTTACATTTCAATAGATACTTCAAGATCTATGAGAAAATCATATTTTTCTCATCTAAACTCTCTTTTGCTTTCCAAGAATATTACATTAAAACTCGCTTCTGTCTTTGAACAAGCTGGATTTATTTTACCACCTTTTGGCGATATATAAACATACTTAACATGAACCTAATGCCCATTTATTTTATAGTGTTAAGAGCTGGCAGCAAGACCATTTTAAGTCAATGGAACTGCATCAGAATTGAGTGGATATGGGCCCTTTGGCCTCCCTGTATTTTTCAGTAAACGAGAGCTTACCCACAGCTTTCTGCTTTTGGCAAGGTAGGTACATGGCGAACATTCAGGAAATCAAGAAATATTTTAGGGAGCTCTTCATTTTCTAAAATGACTGTCTGTAAAAAAAGGAAAAAAAAAAAGCACAATAGAAACACAAAATTTTAAAATATTTTAGATATTGCACACTTTTATTCAAGCTACCAAAACATTTCCCACTTGCAACGCTTTTCAATTCTCCATTTTTTTTTACACCTACTTTGGAGTGCTTCATTTCAATAAGAAAACTAGTTCTTAATGATCACATATAAATACATTCAGCTTATGCTACTACATTCTTTTTTCACCTGCCACCACTGGTGCCAAACTAGATGCCCCTGAAGCACAGATGTCCGATTCTGAAACTAAGTTACTGGCACACTCATTCATGAATAAATTTCCATTTATTTAAAACATAAAATAAAGCAGCTACAGCTCAGTGCTTTCATGCTCACCTCACAGAAGACTCGTGTCTGGCATATCAGTGGAAAAAGGAAGTCTCCACTTTGTGCAATTTTATTAATGCATACTTTGGTAAATGCCAGCACGGGAAACTCTTTGCTTGACTTAACAGATCAGCTTACAATGAACTGCTTAACTCTGTGCTGTGACTCCTAATGACAAAGCTCTGACCAAAGAGCTGCTGGCTAGACCTGCCATTTCTTCCACAGCAACGGCATAATGGCAGGACTCCATCCTCCTTTGTTTTTTCACTGATGAGATGATTTACAATTTTCAGTAAATTAATTACAAGTACACTTAAAAATATGTACCAAATAAATGAGATGCTTCGGTGCCTGTTCATCATGAAAAAATGACTTTTAAAGGAAACAATAAATCTCTTGACAGTTTCATAGAAGCAGACCAAAAAAAATCGTTGATCTTTAATTTTCACAAGGCAAACAAAACAGTTCATAAATTCAACCTATGTCTTACCTGAAACATTAAGCCCCTATTTATTTAATGTTCATAGTGCCATACATTCTGATAACACATGTACATCACATGCAAATGAAAGCCACAAGCTCTTTCCTAAAGAGCTCTCCTTCATAAACGCCTGATCCAGAGTGATTGTATGCATGGAAGAAACTTCACTAGATTTATAAATAAAATTACTTGTACAAGCAAATCTGTCCATGTTCATCCTGTTCATTTTCACACCCAATGTAAGAAGAAACAAACCTAGAGAAGAAACAAGTGATGATGGGAACAAACATTACTCTGCTTCTGTTCAGGAGGTAACTTATTAGTGTTCATGTATTCTTTTACATTACAGTATCACTAGGGAGACGCAGTGGTATGTAGATGATAACAGGATCAACAAAAAAAAAATGTTGGAAAAGACATCTAGAGGTCATCTAGATTTTATAGCAGGTTTTATAGCAAATGGCTTGGTCATTTGTGCAATGAAAAGCCACTTAGTGTAAAAATTACCTAAGCTGTACATAGACTTAAAGAGAGAAACCCATCTGAAAACAAAGATATTTGAGAACTGCTTCTTTTTTTATATTATGTTTGCAAATCTGAATTCAGAGTCTACATTTCTTCAACAGCTGAGACCATCACTAGGAAGTTAGGAAAAAAGAACAGGGAAAAATGCAGCTTTTGAACTTTTCTGTTCTAGATTTTAATGGATATAACAAACAGGGAGGTCTCAAATGTTGGTGTTGAGCCTTTCAATTCACCTCTATATGAAGATGCTACATTAAAAAAATGCCACTTCATTTGCATTCTGCAAAATCAGCACTCTGCTGCTGCAAAATTTATCCTGTTCTGCATTCAGGTTATGCACAGGAAGGAGGGGTGGGGGTGGATGCATATGCAGAGGGTGTGTGAATTGCATAACAATGTGTATGATTAGCTCAAATAAACCCATCTTACTAATTATATGCAATGAAGAACTGCAAAAAGCTGTATGAAGATGTTTAAGGGCATCCAGTGCTTACATTCAACCTCATACTTACACCTCCTGACAGCTTTTTCCAAAAGTTGAGATGCCTGCTGAACAGAACAGTGATTGTCAGGGAAGAAGAGAAGGATACATCACAGTATAAATGGAAAACTTCCGACAGCTCTTACAAACCTATTTGTTTCTACCTCCACTCACTCCAGATTAGTATGTTATTCTATTTTTTTTTTTCATGACATGCACCACGTCAACCCAAGCCCTGCTAACCCTGCCTCAACCAAATATATTTCACAAAAAGATGTAAGCAAATTGTGTTTGTTTTAGTGTATTAATCCATATAGTTTGTTAACCATCAATAACTCTGCTTTAGTGATCAATAAACTTGAAAATGTAGAATTTGCAGAGAAGCAAAGGCAGTTTTGCACTGTACTGTATTTTGGATGCTGCCTCTGTTGATTGGGAATTTTGGCATTTCCAGAATTATATGAAGGGAGGAATGACTGCATTGAACAAAGAAGGATTTTTCAACTGATGTAATGTAATGTGACATCCTTTTCAAGGAAATAAAAAATAAATGAAGGTACAAGTTAGTTATACTAATAAGGGGGCAAATTATCTTCTGGCTTGACTTCATTGGCTTTGATGCAAAAAAGGGCCAGCATATACTCCAGCTGTTTAATATACATTGTAGAAACCAAAGGAAAAGAGGAAAAAACCTGGGAACAACAGAAAAAAAGCCAAACAAGCACAGAGGATTAGGTGTGTCTGTCTTACTGTGTTTCCTACCTCTGGTGGTTGCACAAAGTGTAAGTCCTGAGAAAAACGGAAGCATTCTCAACTTCCTATTTAAGTTGTTCAAAAAAATATTCTTAAATCAGAAATAAATGTTATCATAATTGGCTTAATTTACCTGGAACAACCATAACACAACAGATTTTTTACTTCTGACTGAAAACTTCTAAGAAATACATATTTTGCAAACTTCCTGATCTTTAAATAATAGCTAAGCAGAATAGGAACCAGCAGGTAAAGTCCCTAAACCACTATCTGTAATTTGTGATGTAGCATGGTCAACCATAGCCTTTGTTCAAGTGAATATATGCCATTGGCTTGTAAACATGACTACTACCTTGCTTGCTCTGCAATCAGAAACTTAAAGATACATATTTTCAAAGAAATAAAACCCCACAATAACTTTGTTAATAAAGTTAATTTCTAACGCATCTGAATTTTACCAAGATCACAGAAATAAGTTTCAAATATGGGTCCCAGAGTCAGAGTGCTAAGCACACTAATTTTAGAAAAAAAAAAAAAGCATGTATACTTCCTTCCTGAAATAAATAAAACAAACCCCCAAAACTAAAAGACCTAACACAACCTCTGGTAAGTGATTTAAGTGACTCCAGAAATACATTTTTCAAACTCATTGATTTCAGCTGAACTAAGAGTATAAGCACCATAGTTTCTTACAAAATCGTAAAGGGTGTTTATCTGTTACTGTCACAATTTAATGAAGTACTTCGTGCTTCAGGAAAAAAAAAAAAAAACAAAAACACAAGGGAAAGCCTGATGTTTACATCAGCAGAAATGTCTTTTTCATTGAAAGGGTGCAATTATTATTATGTAACACAAATCACAAAAATCCCAATTTTTCTACCTTATCAGTTTCATAAAATCATGTTCCCTAAGGATGTCATTGATTAGTTGCACATGTTCTTTCAGTGACATCTGAAATACTTAATTGTCGGTTATCTTTTCTCCTTCAGCAAGTAAAATATAGTCACAAAATTGCAAAGGGACTTGTTCTGCCTTAACCTTAGCTAGATGCCATCATGCAGTGGAAAACAGTGCTAAAATATCACAGGATAATGCTCTCCAACAAGGGAGACATATAAACAGCATAATGATTTCCCACGAGTTTCCTTTTTAGAAAATTGTCACTAAAGCCAGGGTAAATGGTGACATATCTTCACAGAGGACACTGTGAAATCGAACACTGGCATTCTAGTTAGGTCCAAACCTACTCATCAGCCAATTATAACAGTAACTGAACATCTTGCTGAAAACCTGTACGAGACCACTTTGCTAACCTTAGGAGATCATGCCACGAGAAAGAATTGTTTTCACAGATTTTTATTATTATTATTGTTAATTTTAATGAAAAAGGATTTAAAAATTAATTTCTTACAATCATCTGTCATACTTTCTCAAGGTTGTTGGAACAGCTGTTGGAGGGACAGAAACGAGAGTGGGGAGCTGAGTTACAAGGTTTTAAAAGTCCTTACAGACTTTTCCATTCAATCAGGTTTACTTTGAAATGCTGTACTGTTAGGGTGAAAAAGTTCATGACAGTTTTTCCTCTTTTCACAGAGAAAGATGCTTCACAATACCTAATTCAGTGGTGCAGCTAAGATGGGGGAGAAGAAAATCAATACATTCCAGCTACAGTAAGTAGGCTGGAGTGTCTGTCTCCACTGGGACCAAAACCCACATCTTTTAGAACACTTTAGAGTTTATATTCTTCTATTAACCTGCTTTTCCTGAACTGCTTTACACAGTCCCATGAAATGATAAAAAGGTTACCAAAAGAACACATTAACTAAAAACCAGGTAGATGAACGAACCAGATTTATAAGAGCAAGCTTTCCTTTTTTTAAAGTAATAGCAGGTACAATAATGTTTTATACTACATACTGTGAAGAACTATGAAGAAACTCACTCCCTTCTTCAGTGTTGTTATAGGTTATCAACAAGAATTATTTCTAAATAAGTTGTCACTTAAGTTGTAATAAGGACTTGAGTTGTAGTAAGGACTCTCCACCTCATTACCACCAAAAACATTCACTGATGGGCATTTTTTTAAGAAAAGGAGGAGGTTATCAAACATGCTTAAAACTCTGTATGAAGATATAAGAAGCATGCAAACACACATAAAACAACACAGGAGTGATGCACTATATGAAGTACCAGCTAGCTAACACTCCAGGCTGCATATCAAAGGGACGTCAACGGTAAGAGTGCCATCTACACAGGGGAGCTTGAAAGGGAACAAGATACTGATATAGGTATTATATGCACAAATCCTTCCAAAGAGGATCCATAAGTTACTATCTGAAAATTAATGTTAAGTCTCAAAAGTAAAAAAGGCGCTGAGGGTAATTGTACCTCTGA